TCTATTGATTTCCTTCTGTGGACATCAATGCTAGCTTATATCAACTCCATCCTCTTCCCTCCATCTCCATCACTCCGTGACTTTAGCCAATAATATGATCTTCCTAAGTACTTATCTTGTCATCAAATAGACCTAAAACAATGAAGATACATGGGGTTGGGTATGCTTTAAGGGTCAAAGACACTGCTACACAAGGAAGCCTTTTTAATAAAAAATTCCTAAAGGTTCTTGTTTACAAGGGGTCATGAAGGAAGTCCATCCTCCTAGGTTATAGGACTGTTGCTCTGAGGAACATATCCCGCTCTCTATGGCTAGGCTCATTCTGCCCCAAGTGACAGCAGTCACGGTGTGGCACACCCTCCAACGGCGGCCACCCTCACAGCTGAGCCCTTGCGTGGCTCCCACCAAACTGCCCTCAGCTTTTCCCGTTGGAAACCAGACCCAGAGGCTTCAGAACCTTTTCAAACACATTCTGAGCACAAATCAGGAAGGCAGGGATGGGGGTGGCAGGAACACAGACGTGAGAGTTATTTTTGAGAGACTGGAAATAAACGTTAAACACAGGTGTGTTCTGCATGAGTGGAAATGTTCCCAAATCTGTAAGAATTCTTTATAAATAAACTAGAAAACAAACCATTCGGGTTGTCATATTTCCTCCTAGTTTCCAGGGACATGCATAAATAGTTTGGGTCTTTGCACATTATTTCAGGAACCACAGAGGGCTTATAGACACCCACTAAAGGTGTCTGACTCATTTTCTAGAAAGCCACACGAACTGACAATCTAGGGCTAAAATGAGGGCAACGCCTGCTCTGTGACTCCTGCCACAGCACAGAAAAGCAGGGCAAAGGGAAACCACCTTCACTGATACCAAAGGAAACATCGGTGGAATTCAGAGTCAGTCAAGAACCTCTACAGCAAATGCAATTCAATTTAGAAAGCAATAATTCAGATCTTTCACCACAACCCATACAACCAATACACATGCACATCAAAATGCATATTAAACAAATCATGGTGAAATTATTTTATAATTGTAATAGGATATAATCATCTCAATGAACTTCTGGGTAATTCTTAACTTGGGGAAGAGGTAAGAATTTTCTATAATGTCAGCAGGGTTTTACAGGTTCAGACTCCATTTTCCCTCACTTTCGACAGGCAAAATATTTTCCTCAGGCATATTTTCTTTCCAAATTCTTGCTAAATCTCCCTTATTGTGAATTCTTAACTACTTTAGGTGGATTGCTCATCATTTTTTTTTTTTTTGAGTTGGAGTCTCACTCTGTCACCCAGACTAGAGTGCAGTGGCCACTCCTGGCCATCGCAGCCTCGACCTGCTGGGCTCCGGTCATACTTCCGCCTCAGCCTTCCAAGTAGTTTGAACTACAGGTGCGCACTACCATGCCAGCTCATTTTGATTTTATTGTAGAGATGAGGTCTCGCCAAGTTGCCCAGGCGGGTCTCGAACCCGCGGGCTCAGGCAATCCACTCACCTCAGCCTCCCAAAGGTGTGGGATTATAGGCTGAGCCACTGAGCCCGGCGATTTCTCATCATTTTAACCTACTTAATGACACAGCATTTCAGTCCCAGACGCAAACTGTGCCCAGACACAAGAACCCTTCCATTTCCACTTCCAAGGCCTGAGACAGAACAGCCAGAGTTGAGGTGACGATTCCTAGGATTACGGGTACCACTGGCAGACCCCTCCCAGCCAGAGGTGCTTTATACACAGTGTTTCCATGAATCCTTACAGCAGCCCTGTGAGGTCAACTTTATGGCCCTTGCTTTATGGCTGAGGAAACTGAGGCTCCAAGGGGCTAAGTAGCATGCCCAAAGAGACACAGTAGAGCTGGGATTCAAACCCTGGCTCTGTGAACTGGCAGCCTATATGGCACTTGTCATCTGAATACACTGCTTCCAGAAAATTGGAATGCTAGGTCAAGGCTGGCAAGCATTTTATTTATAAAAGTAAAATTCTGCACTAGCACAGAGACCTAATTTCCCAGTAGATCATATAAAATAATAATAAAAACAAAATGATAAAGCACAAGGGATTTTCTTAAGCAACAAAGACAGAGTGAGGCCAGGCAGCCTGGGTGAAGTAGTACCAAGATCATCTATCTGGATTTTATAATAAAGGAAAACAAAGTTACCAAAGACTTTGATTGGGACAGAGGGGTTAGCGAGCATAGCATTGTTAAGGAATGACAAAAAAGAGGTTGGGATGTTAGGGACGAAATGGGTAGGAGACACTAGAGCTGGGGAAGCATCCCTTCATCCTTTGCCACCCCAGGGTGCTCCTCTAAGCCAGGTGCTGTGGTGGGTGCAGGACAAAAGAGGATGGAGGAAGCCTGGTCTCTGCTCACCTGCCCCAGGCAGGTGCAGAACAACTTAAGCCTGGGCTCAGCCTCAGCTTTGCATGGGCAGGAAGTGGCAGGGATGCCGGAAAGCAGAACCCTCAGACTCCAGTGTGGCTAGGCTTAGAGGGTGGGGGAAGGGTGGGACCAGGGGTACCAAGTGTCAAAATGATGATATTGGAACTCTAGGCTGGAGGAGCAGGATCAGTGTGCAAGCTGGGTCAAGTGACCAAGCATACAGTGGAGAAGACAACCTCATATTTTGATTATGCAACATGAATAGCAGAATGCTGCTTCAGTTTCCAAACTACTTCTAGATACATTAATCCCCAAAACCAGAGAAATGGACTGCAACTCTCAGGACATTCTTGAAAGCAGCCTGCCACATCAGCCTGTTCATTTCCCTGTACTGTGTAGATGAGACTGATAGATATTATCTTTCTGACTAATCTTTAGAAAAATTAGATAGATACTTTTTATCAGATTGGATCTCAGACTAGGAGGTTAGGAACAAAATCATCAAGATTAATGTGTTCTCACCACGGCATATATTTAAGTGGAAGGACTGGAGTATAATATGTTATCTGAACCCTGGTTGGTTTTTCTTTTCTCAAACCTTATTAAATATTATTGATACATCGGGTTTTCAATTAAAAAGAGGCTGCCCTTCTTCCAAAAACAACAACAACAACAACAAAAAGCAGGACAGTGAGTTCCCCCCACTGCAAAGAATGGCAGTTATTTGACTGCTTTGTCATTACAGGGGGGAAAAAAGCACTCTACCCTTTCTTAGTATTACTAAAACCAAATATCTGTGCTAATTATTAAAGTATTTGTATCATGCTTCACACCCATTTAACAACTTCCTTATTCTGCTTGCTAGGTTAAGTCTGATTAAAAATAGGAAATGTACTGTGTATAAGAAAGCAATTTGAAGGAGATAATAAAGAAAAGAACCACATCTGACTTGTTTACAGAAAGGAACAACAACGGAAACATTCTTTCCCTCCTCTCATTTCCTCCTGCCACCTTCAACACCTACAGAGATATCCTGAAATAACTGAAGGGGAGAATGTTTTACAGGTAAAAAAATGGACATGTTCTTGGGTGATCTGCAAAACAGAGAGTCATGTGCTGTTCCAGAAAGAAGCCTCTATAACTCTAGCGTGGTTTAGCACACACCATGTTCATATGGAGTTCGTGAAAACTCCTGACCTTTGACAAGCTATTGAACCTCTAGGGTCATTAGTTCCCTAGCATATTTGGATTAGGCTCATAAAACACACAGTCTCAGCTGGGTACAGTGGCTAACGCCTATAATCCCAGCATTTTGCGAGGCCGAGGTGAGAGGACTGCTTGAGCCCACAGGTTCAAGACCAGTCTGGACAACTTGGCGAGACCTCATCTTTACAATAAATCAAAAAATTAGCTGGGTGTGGTGGCGTGTGCCTGTAGTTCCTTGGAAGGCTGAGGCAGAAGGATCACCTGATCCCAGCAGGTTGAGACTGCAGTGGCCATGAGCATGCCACTGTACTCCAGCCTGGGTGACAGAGTGAGACTCCAATACAACACACACACACACACACACACACACACACACACACACAATCTCTAAAGCCATTTCTTTGAGGTAACCCCTTGATGATAAAGATAAATCCTACTGATCACTTATGGATACACCTGGGTTAGGGTTGTGGGTAGCTGACACCACAGTTCCCCTCCCTCTCAAAAATGACCACAAGCAGCAGCACCTTGCCCCACCTCCCCATTCTTTCTCCCTCTTCCTTGCATCCTTTACCCTGCCTATGATTCCCAGCCCTGCAAGAGCCCAGGCAGCCATGATGATCTCCCAAGTCACACTTGTGCTAAGGGGATTGTGCTAAGTTCCCTGCCATTCCCCTAGACACAAGAATAAAACCACTTTACACATCTTAAAGTCTGTTCTGCTTCTCATCGTATTCACCCATCATAAAAACCTTGTACTTCAGAGAAAAGACCATATCACTTAAATAACACATCTTTCAACTACCTACTTGGTGAGTACCATTGCATGAAAGCATAAACAGTACATGGCTAAGGCCCTTGTTAAACTGCGTCACTTCACACAGATTTTATAGCACTCCATGTGTTTACAGGGCTCTGGCCATAATGATAATAAAATCATTCAACCTTCTTAGTGCAAACAAGACAGGCAAAATTCTCTTAGGCACTCTACCTGACTTTGATCTGAACAGCAAACATTCTTTAAGCATTTTCTGCCTGTGAGGCATGACTAGCCTTTTTAAAGTCCCTCCTTGAATACCTCATGACACAGAGCTTTACAGCCCAGCTGCTGTGGAGGGCAGGATCTCCAGCCAAGCAGGCTGCCTTCCAGGTTATTCCTTCTAGAACAGAATTTTCTGCAGGACCATGTAAATCTGCAGCTGGCCCCCAAACAAACAGAAATCAATTCATTTCTCAAGGAATTCATTCACCTGGATACACTGGACTTAGCCTGATCAAAAGGAATGATGCAAGATTCTTCCTCACAAGTTCAGGATCATAAAAGCCAAGTGTTTCAAGGGCTAAAGCCCCATATTATCCTGTCAACATCCACAAGCAGTTCACAGTTTAGAAAGCAGTTGACAACTTTTGCTTACCTTGTTGATGAGAGTGACTATATCTCCTTCTTTGATTGTCAATTCATCATCATTCTGCGCCTCATATGGAAATATTACTTTGCAGTAATCCTTGCCTGCAAAGAAAAAAATAAAACACAACCTTTAAAATGCTTTATCTAATGAGCTGGCCCAGGAGAAGACGCTCTCTATCATATTAACTTTGGGAAAGGCACACTTAACAGATAGGTTATTACTACTGCATAAAAAAGAGTTGCTCTCAGAAAATTACCTAAGATTGTTCATTTTTGGCTCATGTATATTTAGTCTCTTTATTTTTTCTCTTACAAGTGATGTGACATCATGAAATGCTACTGATCTGCTTTGCTTTTCTCAGGAAGAAAAGCAAAAAGGTTTCCTTGGTCTCAGGAAAACAAACATACACCATTATATATACTCTTCGGGTGTATGCATAAGTGCACATCATCTACAGAGACCAAAAAGCTTAAATTTTGACTCACAGGGTCTTCCACACATTACTAAATCAGAAGTGAGGAATTTATGTTACAAAGTCAATATGGTACATAAAACAATGAAAATTTACCCCATTATGGCACATCTTAATAGATAAATGTTAACATATCTGTATGTAAATGTGTGCCAATCACAAGCAGCCAACAAATACTAACCATTCTTTACACACACATGTGTGAGGGGGAACTTGTTCAAACATGTCCCATAACTTGCTTCTCTGTGGGGACCTGCTATTCGTAGATGGGGCTGTCCATCAGCAAGAAGATGCACTAGCCCTCACCGAAAAGAAAAAAGAAAAAAAAAGAAAACTAAGCCCACTCAAAATTAATTCAAGTATGTCCTTGAACTACATGGTTTTGAAACTCTATCTGATGGAAAACAATCTCTATTTATCCAAAAGTGCCAGTTGTGAAGACAGTGAAAACATTTGTAAGGTATTTGGGAAATGGAGACTTGGAAAACTGGACTTTGATGACTCAAGGACAGAAAGTAGAAAGAAAAATTTAAGAGAAGTAGTATCTACTGGGACAAACATTTATTATTCTGCAGCAAAGTCAACAAACTTAATGGCTTTGAGTGACCTTAGCTATTTCTCAAGGATTAGGTCAGTTCCTGCATATGGGTTACAAACTGAAGTTATAGACAGAGGTATTAATTATATTGTCCCTAATACAATTTATATCACTGAAATGTGTTTCCTTTGTTTTAGCTAACATGCCAACAATCAAAGAGTGATATCTAAAATAAAGGCACTTTAAAAATCCATAATACAAATACACTGTGGTCTATGGTTCGGATAAGAAAGAGCAGGGAGAAAAGGGGAGAAGTGAAGGAGGGAGAGGAGGACTCAATTTGCTTCTGTACAGATGTTTTTGTTTTCTATACAATGGCTTGAAGATATCAGTTACATCCCTTGTCCTAGTGTTGGAAACCTTCTATCTTAGGTATTCTGGGCCTCAGATGGCTTTTGCTCATAGACCCACATAGTTGCCAACATCCCATCTTTCTTTAGTTAAAACTTCAAAAATCTGAATTGGTCAAATGTTCTAAAGGGAGGGGAAAAGTTCAACATCTTTAAGTTGGATAATGAAAACTCCTTACCAATTTTCCTATAGACTGTGCTAGTGAAATAATGACTACCCAATCTCAAAACTTACAACACAGACACAGTATGATTGAAGGACTGTCCTGAAAAGTACTAGCTTTACCATATCTTTAAAATAAAAAATAAAAATAAATTAAATTAATTTAAAAAAAAGAATAATTCTTCAAATGGAAATCATGGAGACATTTTACAAATAATATAGAGATCTATGGATAACAAATGAAGAAGGAACCGGCCATGTTTCTATTCCTTTCAGTAAAAAAAAAAAAAAAATTGAATAAATGTGGTAGAGGTTGTTGGCTAACTTCCCAGTAGCCATTCCTAGACTCCCTTCCTAGTTCACAGAACCCTAATTTGTTCAGGTATTATATTCCAGAACACAACCTCTCCCCACCCCACAGCCCTGGGGATGAGTAAACTGTATCCAGGTGAATAATGTTAACCTTACTCTCCTTGGTTGGTGATTGGTTTAGGGGAGGGCATGTGATCTATTCCCAGTCAATGAAATGTGAGAGAAATTTGCTTGGAGGTAGGAAGCTATTTGATTTTGTTCCCTGATGTGTGTGTGAGAAAGAGAATAGTGATAGACAGGCAGACAGATAGACTTGGGGAAAAGAGTTGCCCCTGTCCTTCTGCTTTTAACAATTTTATCTTTGTTGGAAGACAGTACAGTGTTTGGTGCTATTGAAATTATATTTCATCTGTGATATAAGTTGTATTGGGGACAATATAATCAATACTTATAATACAGAGTGCCAAAAAATGTATACACTTTTTAAGAAAAGAAAAAAACTGTATTAAATTTTAATATTCAATATGCAATGATAACAAAAGATGAATACAAGTCATATTTGACTTCTGCAATTACAAGAGGTGCTCAAAGTGGTTAACATCAGTTTCCAGACACATTTGATTACCGTGAATTGACAGTAGTATATAGATAACATCTCTTAAAATGTGTATACATTTTTTGGCACCCCTGGTATATAGCAATAGGTTACAATCTGTCTGTAGGAACCAGCCTGCTCCTTAGGAAATAGCTAATACCACTCAAAACCATTAGGCTTGTTAACTTTGATGCAGAATAATAAATGCCTATCCCAGTAGACACTAATTCTCTTGAATTTTTCTTTCTACCTTCTTTCATGAGTCATCAAAGACCAGTTTTCCAAGTCTCCATTTCCCAAACATCTTACAAATGTTTTCACTGTGAGAATTTACTGAGACCAAAAAAAATCATTGAGAATTTAATGTTTTAATAGATTTATACAGTTGTGTAACCATCACCATAATCCAGTTTTAAAACACTTCTACCATGCAGCTATGCTATTTTATGTATAAGGTATTAGATGCAGAATTATCTGGAAAGCACCACTTTTGTTATTTAAAAAAAATTGGGGGGGGGGAGTTGGAGTCTCACTCTGTTGCCCAGGCTGGAGTGCAGTGGCATGATCATGGCTCACCACAGCCTTGACCTCCTGGGCTCAGGTGATCTTCCCACCTCAGCCTCCTGAGTAGCTGGGACTACAGGCACACATCACCTCATCCATCTAAATTATGTATTTTTTATTTTTAAAATAGAGATGAGTTCTCACTATGTTGCCCAGGCTGGTGTCAAATTCCTGGGCTCAAGCAATCCTCCTGCCTCGGCCTCTCAAAGTGCTGGGATTACAGGCACAAGCCACTACATCTCTCTAAAAGCACCACTTTTAGACAAAAGAAGGAGATACTGGTGCTAATGACTACTGCTAAGCCTCCAAGCTTGTTGCAGCATGACTCGCAGCATGACTCGCACCTCTTTGAATCCCCAAGAACCTGACACAAAGCTCCCACTCAACGTTTCTTGGTCATCTCCAAATGACACCTATAAAGTTGAGGAACATTCAAGGAACAGCAAGTAGGAAGAAAGAACTATGGGTCAGAAGTCAGGACACTCAGGACTGGGTTCGGTCTTAGCTGGGCTTTCCTGAGCACATGACCTGAGGAAATCACAATGTAGCTCTGGATGACCTCAGTGTGCCCACATGTAAAATGAGGGGCCAGCAAAGGAAGGACAAGAGGAGAGTTTGGTTAATTTCAGCAGAACACTTAGAAAACTTAAGCTTGGGACTTCCGGCAACATGGCAATGGAACAGGTAGGACTGTTAGCATCTCCGCAAAAGTGAGTGTCCATAAAGACTCTCTGCATGAGTAGGAGTGTGGTGGTGGGTGGGTGAAAATCCATCTGAGTGGAGGCTTGGGTTCATGCACTGGGGCTCTTCTCCACAAGTGACTGCAACCCCCCACCACCCTGAGATTGAAGCCACCCGCGTGCACAGGATCATCTGCTGTTCACTGGACTCTCCTGAGAAGAGGCTGCTGAATCCAGCTGATTCTCATGACCTGGCACCTGCCCCACACCATCACCTGTGATAGCAAATTGGCTGGAGCCCCGGATCCGATCAGTGGAGAGAGAAGACTGGGGAGAGCTGGAGAGGAGTCCCATTCTCAGTGAGGAAATGCCGACCACAGCCATTTTCTCTGTCCCAGGACCAGGCAGAGACCTGCATTGCCTCACCCAGCTCCACCCAGCCTCCAACTTGGGACCTAAGGTAATCTCATCAAACTCGAGAGACAGAGCCCCTCCCCCATGCCAAATCAGATACAGACATATCAGATCTGAGCAGGAGACTTGACAGGCAGCAAGCCAGGTGAGTTCAGATCTGATCCACCCTCCTCCCGCAGTAGGCCTGGGGCATCTGACCCACACTGAGAGCAATCCTATCAGCCTTCACTGAAAGCAGAGGGGGAGGGCTGGAGATCAGAGTTGAAAAGAAGTTGGACTTAGAGGAATGACCTCAGAGCACTTAACATAAAAAAGAAAAGAAAACTTAAACTTATTCCAGAACTCAAATATAAAACAATAAAATAAATATTTGGTTCCTTGTTCCTTTTTTTTTTGGTCTTTTCTTGTCTGTTTGCTTTGCTCATTTTTCTGTGTTTTTTGTTTTAGTTTTTTTCTCTCTTTCTGTTTTCGATAATATTTTCATACTTGCTTTATTTCTGTTATTTTACTGATTTTTTTAAAAAGACTTCCTGTTTGTGTATGGGAAGAGTACATCAATACGGAAGTTTTTGTCAGTTTGTGTGTTTGTATGATTGTCTGTATGTTTTAGTTTTTTTTAAACTCTTTTCTGTCTTTGTGTCTCTTTTCACTTGTTAGCTGGTATGTCTGTCTATTTTCCCTCTTACTCTTCTCTCTCTCCACTTTCCTCTTGCCCCACCTCCTTCCTTTTTCCATTCTTTTCCTTTTTCTTACCTCATTTTGTGTTCAGGGAGCAAACCCATACTCCCACTGCATGGACAGACTGTAAGGCAGTGGGAAGTGGGTTCCAGGGTGCCTACACAACTGTCAGTGGATAGTGGGATCTGCAGATAGATTCTGAATCACAGCTCTCCCCTCAATTAAATCTCAAAACTGCAAAAAATACAGCCCCCAACCCACAGTCCAGCTTCAGA